ATCGCAACACACAATATCGGTGGGATTCTCAGTTTGTCAGTTCATGTATTTCGTATGGTTCGTGCTGTGGGGTTTCCTCGTCTCGTCCGTCTTCTGAGCTGGGGAGAGGGCTTGATCACAACACTTTGTCTTATGGTCATACTCATAGTCATACTCATACTCATACTCATACTCATACTCATACTCATACTCATACTCATATTCATACTCATACTCATACTCATACTCATACTCATACTCATACTCATACTCATACTCATACTCATACTCATACTCATACTCATAACTCCTCCTCGCTCCTCCTCCGCCTCCTCCTCCTCCCTCTTCCTCCTCCTGCCTTCCTCCTCCTCCTCCTCTCCCTCCTCTCCTCCCCTCCTCTTGCCTCCTCCTCTTACCATCCTCCTCCTCTTCTCCTCCTCCTCCGCGTCTCGTCCTCTGTCCTCCTCCTCCTCCTCCCTCGTCCTCACTCCTCTCCTCCTCCTCCTCCTAATGCCTTCTCCGCCTCCTCTCCTCCTCGCCCCTTTTCCTCCACATCCTCCTTTCTCCCTGCTCCTCCTCCTCCTCCTCCTCGTCCTCCTCCTCTCCTGCCCTCCTCCTCCTCCCCTCCTCTTCCCCTCCCTCCCCCTCCCTCCTGCTCCGCCTCCTCCTTCGCTACTCCTCCTCCTCCTCCCCACTTCCTCCTCCTCCTCTTCCTCCTCCGCCCTCCTCCTCCTCCGACCTCCTGCTCCTCCTCCTCCACTCCTCGTCCTCCTCCTCCTCCTCCTCCTCCTCTCTCCCTCCTCCTCTTGTGCCTCCTCCTCCTCGTCCTCCTCCTCCTCGTCCTCGTCCTCGTCCTCCTCCTCCTCGTCCTCCTCCTCCTCCCTCTCTCCTCCTCCCTCCGCTTGCCTCTCTCCTATCGTCTCGGCTCGCGCTCTGAGCGCCCTGGAGTGTTCTGAAATTGCCGCGGCGCTGGACGCGCCCTCCAGGCCCGCCGGTTCTCCGAGGTTTCCCAGTCCTCCTCTTCATCGTCCTCCTCCTCCTCCTCCTCCTCCTCCTCCTCCTCCTCCTCCTCCTCTTCCTCCATCTTCGTCCTGCCTTCGCCTTACCTGGAACTCCGATGTCTTGAGTTTCTGACTGCGGGGCCCCGGGGGGTAGGACCTCTTCCCCAAGGCTGGCTGTTCATCCCGAGTCGATGTTTGGTGGTCCCCGGGCTTGGCGAGGGCTCCCAGGGGCCGCAAGCTGCGACAGTCTTGCGCACTGAGTTTCTCGAGACGCTGGAGGTCTGGGCAACGGAGGATCACGATGGATCGGTGGAGAACCTTTCCGACGAGTGCAAGGCCTTCCGGGCGAAGACCAGGCAGAGCAGGCCCATGCCAGCGGGCTCGTCGATAGCCGCCTCCTGGGACGCGCCCCGCTGACCTCGTCTTGCAGAGGAAAAGCAGCTAATGCAGGAAGAGGATGGACGATCGAGGATCGAGGAAGTTCTGTGGAGGCTGTTTCCGTTTGCTTTTATTGGTCCTCATCGGGAGCCCATTTCGGCCCGATCGATCCGATCCGATACCGATTCCGTCAGGCCCGATCCGATCCGATTCCGATTATATGCCGACGATCCGCTGTGTCCCGATGTTGGCATTGTCTTCACGATTCTTTACGCAGGATTCCTCCCGATATTTATTTTTTCGGGGTTCCTCTGTGTTCTTGAGGGTTCCTCGGGACGCCTCAGGATTCCACAGGGCTCCGCAGGATTCCACGAGGCTCATCAGAGCTCCACAGAGCTCCTCAGGGCTGCTCAGGGCCTGCCTTTGGGGTTCTTCGGGCTTCCCCGGGCTCCCTCTGGTTTCGTCAGCAGTGCGCGGGATCATTCGGGGCCCTTGGACGGAGTCCAAGGTGGAGTTGGAGGAAGAGGAGGAGGAGGAGGAGGAGGAGGAGGAGGAGGAGGAGGAGGAGGAGGAGGAGGAGGAGGAGGAGGAGGAGGAGGATGATAGAACTATCAAAGAACTATGGAAGCAAAGGCGTATCGGTGTTGTCATGTCGGTGGTGGTTGTTGAGATGGCGTGGGTGTGTGGAGTGGAGTGATGGTCTTGTTGCGAACGTGCGTGCGTTGTTCTGGTGATGTTCCTGATGGGCTGTGTGTTGTGATGGTGTTGGTGTGCTGTGGCGCTGATGTGTATGCGCGGTGCGTGGCAATGGAGTATGTGGGTGGTGTGGTGAAGACGGACTGAATTGAGTAGAGCGCGGGCGGGGGAGGGCGGCGGGGGCGCGCGGGCCGGCGGGCGGCGGGCGTCTCGGGCGGGCCAGGATTTCTGATTGAACTCCGAAAGAGTGTGTCTAGCAGCAGGAGCCTGTTGAGTATCGGGTGGCGTGTTGGACACGAAGGTTGTTGAGTATGTGGGGGTGTGTTGGAGACGCAGGGAATTGTTGGGCACGAAAGCTGTGGCGTATGTGGGTGTGTGTTGGGGACGGAGGGAGTTGGGTCGACGGAGCGTTTCAACATATGCTTAGGGAGGGAGCCTGTTGAGTATCGGATGGTGTGTTGGAAACGAAGGTTGTTGAGTATGTGGTGGTGTGCTGGAGACGGAGGGACTTGAGCAGAAGACATGTTTCAAGTTAGGCCTCGGGGGGGAGCATGTCGAGTATCGGGTGGTGTGTTGGACACGGAAGCTATTGAGTATTTGAGGGTGTGTTGGAGACAGAGAGGGTTGAGTAGAAGCAGGTTTCAAGCTAGGTTCGGGCAGGGAGCCGGTTGAGTATCGGGTGGTGCGTTGGACACGGAGGCTCTGCTGAGTGTGTGGGAGTGTGTTGGGGACAGAGGGAGTTGAGTAGAAGGCATGTTTCAAGATAGGCCTGTTGAGTATCGAGTGGTGTGTTGGACACGAAGGCTGTTGAGTATGTGGGGGTGTGTTAGAAACGGAGGGAGCTGAGTAGAAGGAATGTTTCAAGTTATGCTTGGGGACGCAGCCTGTTGAGTATTGGGTGGCGCGTTGGACACGGAGATTGTTGAGTATGTGGGGGTGTTTTGGGGACGTAGGGGATTGAGTTGGCGGAATGCTTCAAGTTAGGTCTGGGGACGGAGCCTGCTGAGTACCGGGTGGTGTGTTGGACACGGAGGCTGTTGATTCGGTGGGGGTGTGTTGAACACGGAGGGAGTTGATTAGAAGGCATGTTTCAAATTAGGCTTGGGGAGAGAGCCTTTCGATCATCTGGTGGTGTGTTGGACACGGAAGCTGTGGAGTATTTGGGGGAGGTGGTATTGGAGACAGAGAGAGTTGAGTAGAAGGATGTGTCAAGTTAGGTTCGGGGAGGGAGCCTGTTAAGTATCGAGCGGTGTGTTGGACACGAATGCTGTTTAGCATGTGTGGCCGTGTTGGCGTCGGAGGGATTTGAGTAGAAGGAGCGTTTCAAATTAGGCTTGGAGAGGGAGCCTGTTGAGCATCGGGCGGTGGGTTGGACGCGAAGGCTGCCGAGTACGTGAGGGTGTGTTGGAGACGGAGGGAGTTGAGCAGAATCATGGTTTCAAATTAGGCTTGGGAAGGGAGGCTGCCAAGTATCGGGTGGTGTGTTGGACGCGAAGGCTCTGCTGAGTATGATCATTATGGTCCTCCTCCTGCTTCTCCTGCTCCTCCTCCTCTTCCTCCTCCTCCTCCTCTTCCTCCTCCTCCTGTTCCTGCTTCTGCTCCTCCTCCTCCTCCTCCTCCTCCGCCTCTGGGAGGGGGCCCGTCGGGGCAATTCGGAAACCGAGGAAAGCTATGGTAATTCATAGAGTGGACGAGGAGGGGGGGATCATGGTGGGTTCAGCGAGCTATGTATCATCTACGCGTATGTACATATACATTTCATGCGGTGCAATGTATGCTGTGCAATATGTGTGGTTCCATATATGCTTTGCACCCGTTATGGTGTAATGTATGTAATGCAATCCATGTGGTGCAGTCTACGCAATGTAAAAAACAGTGCAAGGCAAGGCAAACCACTGCAAAGCAATGCACTGCAATGCAACGCAATGCGACGCAATGCACATCAACGCAGAACAATGCAAAGTAATATGTGTTGTGCAAGCTAACGGCGGCGACGGGGTGGCGATGGGGCCGCGACGGCGACAACACAGCCGCCAGACTGACAGACAGGCCCAGACGACCGTCGGCTACGACGCGGCGACGGGGCGGCGACGGCGGCCACATAGCCGCCAGACCGACCGTCATGGCCCAGATTCACAACCGATGCACGAGCCCCCAAGTGCAGGCACCGTTGGGGGAAAAGCCCCATACCTCGGACACGGGAAACCACACCCACCGACGAAGGGTACGGCGAGACATGGAAGGCACAGCTCCTCGTCGCGCGCTCGCCCGGGCAGTAAGTGGCCCAGGTGGCTCCTTTTGCGGGCAGGAGGTGTCCGCTCCGACGGCGCCTGCAGCACGGGGCATCTGTAGTTTCGTGGTCGTTCTCCGCTCTTCCCTCCAGCCCCCCGAGAAACTCCATCGTTCCATCGCTCGGCAGGAACGTAGAAATAAGTCGGGCCTGTCCCTCTACAGGAGGAATATTCAAAAATAGCCAAAAACTTGTCAGGGGACTATTTTGTGAGTACGTTTGACCATTGTGCAGTATTTGTTTAACATATTTCGAATTTTTCGCCCAAAATCCCACTGTAGGGGGACACGCCCGACATAAACGTAGAGACGGAGCTCGGTCTCCCCGCCCTTTCGCCCTCCAGCTCCGCCTGCCCCTCTCCCGCCCCCTCTCCCCCGCTCCGCCTCCCCGAGGCGGCCCCGAGCGGCCCGAGAGGCCAAGAGAGCTCCAGTGTTAAGTCGGGCCTGTCCCTCTACAGGGGGGGATATTCAAAACTAGTCAAAAAATAATCAGGGGACGATTTGTTGACTATTTTTGAATATTTTTAGTGGCATTTGTAGAGTATTTTTTGTTTTTCGCCCAAAGTCCCCCTGTGATGCCCTCCGTAGACAATTTGGCTCCAGCCGTTTTGGCTCAAATCGGAAGCTCTGTTTCGGGAAGCCACGCGTCCGGGAGTCATGGTGTCCACCGTCCAGGAATCTGGCCCGAAGGTTGACAGCAAAGCTCGAGCAGAGGAGGTGTCCACCGCCGAGGAGACTGTTCCCGTTGGAACCGTTGTAAAGCTCACAAAGAGAGGACAGGTTCTTTTCTGCGTGATACAGATGACTGCAGGGAGCGGACAGGCGTCATCCACAGAGCAGCTCCTAATAGAGGCTAGTTCGTTTGAAAGTGTTGGCGCATATGCCGCTGCCCGTGCCACAGCGCAGATTGGCACAGTGGTGGAGGCAGTCGGAACTCGGTGCCTTTCTCGGTCAGGAGTGCCGTCTATTATGGTCAGTGCTCTCAGAGCTCTTCCACAAGACGATCCATCAGCTGATGGTGTTGCGGATGCATCTGAAGAGCCAGTTGTCCTGTATGACAGCGGTGCGTATTTGGCAACTTCCAAGTCGCCTGGCATGCCTATGTCTGTTCTCTCGGATAAGGTTGGTGGTCTTATCCCAGTGTGTTGTCTTGATCAAGACGCCTCTGGAGTTGTTGTCTTCGCAAGGTCTGAGGAGGCTGCATCTTTGTTGTGGGCTCAGATGGGCGACAGCAACTATGTGTCGAATGAGTATGTAGCCCTCGTTCGAGGAGAGCCGCAACGGGAATTTTGGTCTGTGAACGCCTCCCTTACGGAGGTGTGCGAGGACAAGGCGCAGAATCGTGGCGTCAACAAGTTTCCAGATGCTCAAGTGAAGCGTTCTGCGATGACGTCCTTCTGGTTAGTAAAGGTGTTGCCGACGTCGCGGGTCTCTTTGATTCGTTGCCGCATTGATGTTCTTGGTGGTATGCATCAGATTAGACGCCATTTGCAATCCTCTGGGCACAATGTCATCGGTGACAAATCCAATTGTGCTGCCGTGCATATCCGCCACCGCCCTTGGGCAAGCTGCGCAGCCAGGTCGCAGGGATTCAGGGGCGGCCTGACCGACCCTGGCCAACCATCCCCCTCCGTGACGCCCCCCTCGCCTCGCCCCGAGACGTATGTATGCGGCCGGAGGGAAGCTTGAAAGGCAAGGACGACGTCACGGAAGGGGATGGTTTGCTAGGGATCGGTCAGGCCACGCCCGAAAGGATGCGCGGGCGATGCGTTCCAGGGCCGGAGGGAAGCTTGAGAGGTGAGGAGGACGTCACGGAAGGGGATGGTTTGCTAGGGGTCGGTCAGGCCACGCCCGAAAGGATGCGCAGGCGATGCCTTCTGGGGCTCTCGCGCTGCCTGTGATGGCTCCGGCTGGCGGTCTCCTCGGGCTGATCGGCTCCCTGGGCCCACTTCGCGGGAGCCACGGCGGCCCCCCCCCCTCCTTGGTTCGCGACCCTCGACGCGGACTGGTGCTGACCCTCACCACCCACCAAATCACCCCAACCCAACCCGAAGGCTTCAATCTGCCCTCAATTTCCAGTGGGGGGTGGTCCTGGGAACATTGAAGAAAAAACACGTGTGGAACCCGTACCCCCCCCCAACCCGACATTCGGGTCTTCGGGTTGGGTTGGGGTGGTCTGGCAGGTGGTCAGACCCGGCCTGTCGCGGGCCGCACGGGCCCGGGCGCCCGCGGGCCGAGCTCGGGAGGGCCGCACGCAATTTGCTGCATGCAGCCGGTTTCGGCCTCACCGAGGGGCCCATTCCTCGATACACAGCCGCCTCCGGCGCCGGGAGGCGCCGGGAAAATCAGCCACGTGAGCTGATTATCAACCCCCCCCCTTGCTATCCCCCCCTTTGGCCTGACCCGACTGGGGGAGGCGGCGCTCCTTTTGGTGCAGAGAGCACTCCGTGCGGCATCCGCCGGGGGACGAGGAGGAGGCAGGCAAGCATTTCGCAGTCCTCCTCGTCCTCCTCCCGCTCCTCCTCCCGAGCTGCCTCCGCCTCCGCCTCCCCCTCCTCCGCCTCCGCCTCCGCCTCCTCCTCCTCCCAGGCTGTTTGAGAGATTGAGCCGTTGGATACGGGCCAGCATGGTTCAACCGAATCCTTTTTAAATTCCCAACCCTCCTGCGTTGGGTTCTCGTTTTGAATAGAGCACTGCTCGCGCGTCTCCTTCCTTCCCACCCCATCCCGTCCCTCTCTTCCCCCCTGCCTTTGACCTCGCCATCCCTGGGGGGCTGCGATCTGTGAAACTGTCGCCACTTTCGAGGCCTGCTGGGGGGCCCAGCACAGTGGGTACCCACCGCGGACTCAAATTTGACCTCGCCATCCCTGGGGGGCTGCGATCTGTTAAACTGTCGCCACTTTCGAGGCCTGCTGGGGGGCCCAGCACAGTGGGTAACGCGGCGACTCAAATTAGACCTCGCCATCCCTGGGGGGCTGCGATCTGTGAAACTGTCGCCACTTTCGAGGCCTGCTGGGGGGCCCAGCACAGTGGGTACGCCACCGCGGACTCAAATTAGACCTCGCCATCCCTGGGGGGCTGCGATCTGTGAAACTGTCGCCACTTTCGAGGCCTGCTGGGGGGCCCAGCACAGTGGGTACCCACGGCGGACTCAAATTTGACCTCGCCATCCCTGGGGGGCTGCGATCTGTGAAACTGTCGCCACTTTCGAGGCCTGCTGGGGGGCCCAGCACAGTGGGTACCCACCGCGGACTCAAATTAGACCTCGCCATCCCTGGGGGGCTGCGATCTGTGAAACTGTCGCCACTTTCGAGGCCTGCTGGGGGGCCCAGCACAGTGGGTACCCACCGCGGACTCAAATTAGACCTCGCCATCCCTGGGGGGCTGCGATCTGTGAAACTGTCGCCACTTTCGAGGCCTGCTGGGGGGCCCAGCACAGTGGGTACCCACCGCAGATCAAATTAGACCTCGCCATCCCTGGGGGGCTGCGATCTGTGAAACTGTCGCCACTTTCGAGGCCTGCTGGGGGGCCCAGCACAGTGGGTACCCACCGCAGACTCAAATTAGACCTCGCCATCCCTGGGGGGCTGCGATCTGTGAAACTGTCGCCACTTTCGAGGCCTGCTGGGGGGCCCAGCACAGTGGGTACCCACCGCAGATTCAAATTAGACCTCGCCATCCCTGGGGGGCTGCGATCTGTGAAACTGTCGCCACTTTCGAGGCCTGCTGGGGGGCCCAGCACAGTGGGTACCCACCGCGGACTCAAATTAGACCTCGCCATCCCTGGGGGGCTGCGATCTGTGAAACTGTCGCCACTTTCGAGGCTGCTGAGGGGCTGGGGGGCTGCCACTTTCGCCTACTGGGGGGCCCAGCACAGTGGGTACCCACCGCAGACTCAAATTAGACCTCGCCATCCCTGGGGGGCTGCGATCTGTGAAACTGTCGCCACTTTCGAGGCCTGCTGGGGGGCACAGCACAGTGGGTACCCACCGCGGACTCAAATTAGACCTCGCCATCCCTGGGGGGCTGCGATCTGTGAAACTGTCGCCACTTTCGAGGGCTGCTGAGGGGCACAGCACAGTGGGTACCCACCGCAGACTCAAATTAGACCTCGCCATCCCTGGGGGGCTGCGATCTGTGAAACTGTCGCCACTTTCGAGGGCTGCTGAGGGGCACAGCACAGTGGGTACCCACCGCAGACTCAAATTAGACGCCGCTTTCGTCCTTGTTCTCCTCCTGCAGTCACCTTCCCTCTGCTGCTGCCGTGCTGATGGTTCGGCTTCCCGCACGTTTTTCTCCTGCTCTGCGTTCCCGACTCCCCATGTCCTCTTCGAGCCTGTAGCTGTCGCCCCTCGTTCTTGTATGGTTCTCCTGCGCATCATGCCATAGGCGCGTGTCCCAAGTAGCTTACACATCAAGTTGATTGTCCATGCAAGTTTCGGCCAACTCCTCGTTTCCATTGATACAAATGGGTTGGGTACGTCACAGGGTAATATTGTTTTAAGGTGTGGGGAGAAGACACGCCAAGATCAACAGCTGCCTTTGTCGACGTTGTGTGCTGAGTGTGTCCAAGCCCTCATGCGGCCTCTTGGGGTCCTCTCAGGGGCCTCTCGGAGGCCTCTTGGGCGCCATGAGAGCTGGGGAAAGGGACCGAGGGGTCCGGGCGAGTGCCCGGGAGGGGGTAGGTACTGTGGACCCCCCCACTCCCCCGCCTTTGTGTTTGGGGCCCTCCTTTGCTGGGAAGGCAAAGAAGGCATGGGCGTGTCTCAAAACATGAGAGCGTGCTGTGCTGGGTGTGCTGGGTGGGGCCCTAGCTGCTGCGCAAGAAGGGGCAGCAAGGGGCAGCAAGGGAAACAGGCAAGTGCCCGACACAAACAGACACACAGACACGTACACACGCACACACACACACACGCACGCACACACACACACACACACGCACACGCACACGCGCACGCACACGCACACGCACACGCACACGCACACGCGCACGCAGACGCGCACGCGCACGCACACGCACACGCACACGCACACGCACACGCGTACGCACGCACGAACGCACGCACGAACGGACGCACGAACGCACGCACACACACGCACACACACACACACACGCAGACACGCACACACATACATACACACACACACACACACGCACACGCACACACATACACACGCACACACATATACACACTCACGCACACGCACACGCACACGCAAACGCACACGCACACGCGCGCGCACGCACGAACGCACGCACGAAGGCACGCACACGCACACGCATACACAGACATACACACGCAGACACACACACAAACACATGCACACACGCACACGCTCACACACAGACACACACGCACACACATTCACACACGCGCACACGCACACGCACGCACACACGCGCGCGCACACGCACACGCACACGCACACGCACACGCACACGCACACGCACACGCACACGCACACGCACACACACACACGCACACACACGCACACACACACACACGCACACGCACACGCACACACCCACGCACACATATACACACACACACGCACACACACACACCAACCGCTGCAGGCGCGGTGGCGGACTTTATGGCGATGGCCAGCTGAATCGGCGTGTGAAGAGGCAGTTGGGTGATGTGCGTCTCTTCTTGCACGCATCCAGGCTTTGCCTCAACGTCCCTGGCACGGAAGCTCCAGTGATCATTGAGGCACCCCTGCAGGCAGATTTGGTTGCTTTTCTCAGGCGGCTGCCAGATGGCTCCGAGGCTGTTTGCGAACTCTCGGATATGGGAGCCATACGCGATATGAAGATCCGATGGCAGAATGCGCAAGGAGCACGATGTGGTCTTGATGCGTTTGGTTATCCCATAGCGAGTGTTGGCTCGCCGTCGTCAGCAGCAGCTGCCAGGTCAAGAACAACGAAGGAGCCACCCACCGAACCACCCCTACCCAACCCGAAGGCCCCCATTTGCCATCCATTCCCAGTGAGGGGGGCCTCGGGGCACATCGAAACACAAACACAGGTGGAACCCGACCCCCCCCCGCCCCAACCCGAAATTTGGGTCTTCGGGTTAGGTTGGGTGATCTGGTAGGTAGTCAGGAGAGGCGTGCAGCGGCTACTCGTACCTTTCTCCAGGTGCTGCGAAAGCTCGAGGCGGGCCCAGAGACCCTGCGGCCGAGGTACTGTACGCACGAGCAGCTGCGTTGGGCGTGCCCTCTCGGACATGGCGAGGGTGGGACCGTCTCTTGGAGTGCTGTGCCTGCGGCTGTGGACCCCGCACGGGGAGGAAATGTCCCGGCCGACCGGTCGAGGCGGAAGCAGCAGCAGTTGGAGAACGTGGTGGCGGTGGCAGGCGCTCTCTTAGCCGGGTCCGAGCCACTGCGGGTCGTGGATTTCTGCTCGGGAAGCGGGCACGTGGGTCTGCTGCTCGCAGCACTGTACCCACAGCACTGTTACACGCTGGTGGACATGAGTAGCCACGCCCTAGACTTTGCCAGCGAACGAATTGCAGCCGCCGATCTCTCTGTACAGACAGTAAACGCAACGGTAGCTGATTTCAAAGACTCCTTTGATGTCGCCTTTGCGCTCCACGCTTGCGGTGATGCATCTGATTTAACCATGCAGCTATCGGTGCTTCACGGTGCTGCATTTGTTGTCATTCCTTGCTGTGTGGGTAAAGTGCGACATGCTGGCAGGTATACAAAGGGGCAGGGCATTTCGCAGTTGTCGTACCCACGAAGCATGGCGTTTCGTTCGTTCTTGGACGAATCTGAGTATTTGCAGGTTGTTCGTGCGGCCGACTATACTCATGGCTTGGACAGTTGCACTGGTGATGTGAGCATTTCCGCAGAGCGTCGCCAATGCAAGTCTTATTTGGAGTATGATCGTCTCACGTTTGCCCAGGAGGCTGGTTATCTGACGAGGCTTGTGGAGATGACCCCTTCGCTATGCACTCCCAAGAACGATATTTTGGTTGGCGTGCCTCCCGAATGGCATGGCTGGTCATCAGTCTGACAGTCATCTGTGACCTCTGCCGACCGACGCTGGTCGTCACATGAGTCACATGGTTATTCCCGCCTTTTTTGTGTTCGCTTGTTGCCGCTCTCCCGTGGTGGTGTGGAGGCGCGAAATCACGGAGCAGTTATGGAGCGACTATATATATATATATATATATATAAACAGACAACTGCCCCAATAAAAGTCCCAATGGTGCCCAAGAGGGACCCAGTGCAGCAGAAGCCATCTCGCGCTCTCCAAGTGGGGAGGCGCTTTCCGTCACCATGCTGGTCAGGTATAACACGCCGTTATCTACCGCCATGCTGGCAGGGTTTGGGTTGGATCGGGCCCTTCTGGGATGGACCCTCCCTCCTTCCCTGTTCGCCCTCCCTCCCTCCCGTCCCTGCTGAGCCAGGTCGGGCTGGGTCGGACCAGGTTGGGAAGGTCTTCCTCTCCCTTCCTCCCTCCCTCCCCGGTCCCGAGCCTGACTCCTGCTCCCAGCACGCCAGCATCCCTCGCTTGGGGCTGGGTTGGGGGGTGCCCGGTCACCTCCCCTTCACCGCACCTCTCCCTGCTCCTTTTGGTCCTGCTCCTCCTTTTCCTCCTGCTCCTCCTCCCCCTCCTCCTACCCTTCCTCCTCCTCCTCCTCCTCCTTCTCCTCCTCCTCCTCCTCCTCCTCTTCCTCCGTAGCCATTTTGGCTCAAGTCCGTAGTGTTTCACTCAAGGACAGAGTTTTTGGCGTGGGGGAGCAGCGGCCCCCGAAGGCTCTCGTACCTCCTCTCTGCCTGCCCTGGCTGGAGGTACCTCTTCTTTCACGTGCTACTTGGGGAACGTACGCTCCCATTAGCAGTCACTTGTTACATCACCTTGCTGCCGCGGATGTCTCAGGGAGATGGACGGGCACAGAAGACGAGCAGGCATGCCCAGAGACGTCGGGCGGAGGCGACGGATTGGGTATGTCGATGGTGCGTCCACCCATTGTCGGGCGCGGCATGGTGGAACAGATCGGATAAAGTTTCATGTCAGAAGTGTGGAGTTGCCAAGGCCTCTTCCTTTCTGGAGCCTCGGTTCAAGCACACGGCGCCTTCACAGAAGCAGCAGCGTGCCGACCGAGCGGCCACTGCTGAGCAGCCGCCGCCATGGCATGCACGCAAGGTCGCAGAGCTGGAGAAGCAGCTGGCGGCAGCGCGGCAGCAGCTGGCCACCGGAGGGAAGTCGGAGAGTAACGCGATGGAGGTCGACGTCGAGAGTGGAGAGCTGCCGCCGCAGACCCCCGCTCAGATCCGTGTTCGACTGGACGAGATCGAAGAGGCCATGCGGGCAATCAAGGACCTCAAGGACCCCTGCTTCGAGAAGGCCAGGGAGGACTACGAGGTGGAGCGCAAGCGGCTGCGGATGGACTTGGAGGCGTCCAAGCCAGTGCCTGCGCAGCTGCGTTCTTTGTCCGTTCCAGTCGGCCAAGTGGAACACCAAGAAGGTCAAGCACGAGGGCCTGCTGGCGGCCGCCAAGAAGGAGTTGCAGAAGCTGCAGGAGACCATCCGCGAGCAGGAGCAGCTGGTGGTCGAGGCAGAGCAGGCTATATTACAGATTGCAGAGGAACAAACCAGGCTGGCGTCTACGGTTCCGAGGCCTCCACCGTCCGCTACCGAGGCAGGCGAGCTTGTGGCAGCCCTCGGCATCACGGTCGACAAACTGGGAGGCATCTTGGCAGGACTCGGAGACGACGGTCACTTGCAAGCGAAGTTGGACTCGGCCTTGGAAGAGGCACGGGTACTGGAGGAGCGCAGGAGACAGGGGCGGACGACACCCGAGGCAGCTCAGCATGCGAACTCTGAGCCGCAGCGGGAGGCCGCCCCTCACGACGATGCCAGGTCTCAGCCTGGAGGAGTCGACGTACCAACACCAGACGACACGGACCTGGAGGAGCTGCGTGCTTTCCTGGGGCGCGCTGGTGTTGCTGTGCAGCCTGAGGCCGACGAGGCAACGATCCGTGGGAGCGTTCGCAGGCTGGCCGAAGGGCTCAATGAATGGAGAAGTGAGAAGCGTGCCAAGGTCCAGGTCCCCGCATAGAGAGGGACGGCCTTCGGCGCGCACGCGACGCGGCTCGGCACACCTCGCGGCACGCACTCTGGTCGTATGCTTGTTGGGCCTGGTTCGTACTGTGAGTGCTATGCCGTCGCTGGGCACGGTAGCAGGGTCGCTTGCTGCGAATCCGATGTTCCAGGAGCCTGGCGGCAGTGGGGCTTATGTGGAGGCGGCCAGGGCGCACTGCCTGGGTCGGAGCGGCGGCGGCAGTGCCGAGGGCCGCGGCAATGGGCGCGGAGGACGAGCCGCGGACGCGCGGGTGGCCGATGCCTCGTCCCACGTCCGACCTCCTGCTCGAGACGTCGACGGACGTAGCGCCCCGAGCGGGAAGGTAACCGCGGCCCAGGTGGGTCCGCAGCCGCTCGACTCCAGGCCCAGACAAGATGCTGCACGCGGCGGGCCAAGCCATGGAGCTGGAGGCCAAGCGGCCGAGGGCCGTGGCAAGGGGCGAGCTAAGCGAGCCGCGGGCGCGCGGGTGGTCGATGCCTCGCATCTCGCCCCTGGGCTCACTCGGGCCGTCGACGGACGGAGCGCAGCCCCGAGTGGGGCCCTGGCCACGGTGCAGGCTGGTGCTGACGGCGAGCACTGCCTGGGTCGGAGCGGCGGTGGCAGTGCCAAGGGCCGTGGCAAGGGGCGGGGAGGGCGAGCCGCGGACGCGCGGGTGGCCGATGCCTCGTCCCACGTCCAACCTCCCGCTCGAGACGTCGACGGACGTAGCGCCCCGAGCGGGAGGGCTGCCGCGGCCCAGACGTGTCCGCAGCTGCTCGACTCCAGGCCCAGACGTGGTGCTGCGCTGGATGGGCCAGGCCATGGCGAGGGAGGCCTAGCGGCACAAGGCAGTGGCAAGGGGCGTGATAGGCGAGCCGCGGACGCGCGGGTGGTCGATGCCTCGCCTCACACCCCCTGGCCCACTCGGGCCGTCGACGGACGGAGCGCAGCCCCGAGTGGGGCCGTGGCCACAGAGCAGGCCGGCAACAAGGGCAGCGTCGCGACGTTGAATTGCTCGTCCGAGAAGCAGCTGCTTGAGTACATGGTGCACTGCAGACACACAGTGGTCGCGGTGCAGGAACATCACGTTGCTCATGATGATCTGGCGGACGCACAGCATCGCTTGCTGGATGCGGGCTGGCAGGGCATATGGGCAGCGGCCAACCCCACAGGCAACGGTGGCACGCAGGCAGGGCTAGCAGTTTTGGCGAGGCCGAACGTCCTGATCACGCGTGGGCCGTGCCTGAACGGACAGACCGTACTGGCTGGCGGTCGAGCTTTACCCGCTCAAGTACACTGGGGAGTTCCTGGTGGAGTGGTGCTGGTCTCAGTGTATCTTTATGTCAACGAAGGTTGGTCTGACAATAACCTACACATCATGCAAGAGGTCAGCAGCTATTTGGAAAGATTGAATCATGCAGGCTACGATTGGATTGTGGCAGGAGATTTCAACATTGAAGCGTCCCAGTTCGGTGATATGCGGTGGCTACACGGGCTAGGTGGTATGCTTCGGGCTCCAGCTGCGGCCACATGTAGACAGGCGATGCCTGGTAGTTGCATCGACTATTTCCTCACGTCGTCTAACTTGATGACACGAGTAGAGCAGCCGTGCGTTCAGGAGGCGACAACCACCTTCCCACACTTGCCAGTGTACATGCATATCAGTGGCAAGGACATCCAGTTGTTTCATCGTGAGCTGCGTGGGCCGCGTTCCGTGCCCAAGCAGCCGAAACCAGGCTGTTCGAGGTTTCCACTATGCTGGCATGGAGTGGCACGTCTTATTGATGCCGCGTGTGACGATTGCAGTTTGCAAGTGGCATGGGATGCTGTGTTGAGCCAAATTGAATTAGAACTGCTTGCCAGGCATGACGTCGTTGGCACCAAGGCCGAGCCGTTCGTAGGTGCATGTGGCCCCGTTGAGTTCGAGAAGGTCAAGCTGCAGTGGCAACCACAGCAGAAACGTTCATATTTGTCAAAAGCAGCCAATGCGTGGTGCGTCGCGGCCAGGTGGGCACGACGCATGCGTAGGGCGAAAGAGGCTATCACTAATGTCACGGCGAAGGTTAGTCAGCAGCAAGTGGCAGGTACGTCGGACATGGCCCATTTTCATAAGCTGTCGAGCTTGATGATCGAGCTAGGCCGCTTCGTGGCGAAGGTGCTGTCTGAGACGGCCGTGCTCAGCGAGCTCGACAGCTGGGCGTCTGACTTTTTTCTCTTGGGAATGGAGTTCCTTGCCCATCCAGAAGTTGATGCAGTGCTGGATGCAATCGAGGCCAAAGCAGCGGAGCTTGCTGAGGCACGCAGCCAGAAGACCGCCAAAGCCTGGAGGGACTGGGCGGCAGCCAGCTTCTTTAACGGTGCGCGCTTCGCGCATAGGCACACGAAAGGGAGAGCGTTGCAGGAGGTGGTCAGTGCAAACGTGACCGCTCGCACGCCTGCCCAGCCGTATCAGTTAGCCGACAAGGCCATGAGGGATTGGGAGGAGATCTGGTCGATGCACGATGCCGCCGCCCCACAGCTGCCAGCCGAAGCGAAGGACTGGGAAGAGCTCCCGCCTTTGACTGTGCAGGACTTACAGCGATCCATTCTTCAGTTTCCATGGGCGACGGGAGTCGGCCAGTTCAGCTTTGCTCCCCGCAGTTTAATTTTTCTGAGCAATTCAGGCCTGGCGGCCTTAGCGAAGCTTTTCATGAAGTGTGAAAGTCTCGTGATCTGGCCATCCCGCAGACTGCTGACGCAGCTTGTTCGCCTCCCCAAGGCGTCGGGAGGATGTAGGTTGATCGCGCTCCTGAACACGCTCCTGAGAGTCTGGGGCAGAGCCCGCAGGCCCATTGCGGCCGCCTGGGAGGTGGAGCATGACCTCGATTGCTTCTGGGGGACGGGAGCTGGTAGGTCGAGCTCGGATAGCGCGTTTTCATTGAATCTAGAGGCAGAGATTGCGCACGAGTTAGGAGAGGACAGCCTCACAGTTTTTATCGATATGCTGAAATGCTATGAGACTGTCATTTTGCAGAGCCTGCTTCACGAGGCTAGGCTGAATCGGTTCCCGATGAGATTAGCTTGGATGACGATTCAGACGTATCTGCAACCTCGCTGCCTGCGTGCATGTGCCTCCCTGTCTTTTCCAGTGCAGTCTAACCAGGGTATCCTAGCAGGCTGTTCATTGGCCACTACAATGCTACGGGTGCTGTTGCATAGAAGCCTGCAGGACTGCATGACTATATACCCCGCGGTCAAGCCACGAGCGCTGATCGACGATGTGAGCTTCCACTGGTCTGGCGAGCGAACCAGGGAGGGAGAGAGCGACGGTCAGGCTAGAGACTTGGCCAATGCAGTACACAGTTTTTTGTCTCAGCGTGAGACCGCTCGGGTTAGTTGCCCAGCCGAGCAAGTCAGGATTTGTTGCGAACACGAGCCGAGGCCGAGATAGATTCGCTCGATTGGTGATGCCTCTTCGTATGAGAGCGAAGCGAGCGATGCGCAATCTAGGTCACGAGATGCACGGCGCTAGAGTTTTGCGAGTGCAAGAAAAGATGCGTCTTAAGGATCTCAAGGCTCGTAGGCGCAAAGTGTGGGGATTGAAGCTCGCCGCGGGGGAGGCCGTGAAATCCTTCCTTGTGGAGGACGGGGCTCCTCCCAGCTGGCGGCCACGGCGCTGGAGTGTCAGGGATATCTGACACGGCGATTCGAGAGCTTCGGACGTTTGCTGGAGGCATGTGCGGGGCCAAGCCCAAGGCGTCGCTCACCCTGTTTTTAGCAACGCAGCGAGACGACAGGTTCGACCCTATTTTTGATGCGACGGTTCCTTTGGTGGTTAGGTTTGCCTCGTTCATCTGGGACAATAGGGTCGCGCCTGGACGGCTCCGTAGAGCTTGGGAGGCGGTCAGGGCGAAGCTTGACCAACGCACCTCGTGGACCAGAGCTCGTGGCCCCATCGCCTCTGTTTGGGTCACGCCGCTGCGTGTGGGTTGGACGATGTTTTCTCCAACAGTGCTTGTGGACGATCGAGGTCGCCACGTCGATTTAGTTAGGCATTGTCCAGGTGATGTGAAAGCCTTCCTGGAGGAAAGCCTTCGCCGCTGGCAAGTTGATAGGATCCTTCAGCACCTTCCCAACAGCCTTGGAGAGAGCTGCTGGAGGAGGGGAATGAGAAAAACAGTACTTTCGGTAAGAGATGTTGCGAGGCGAGGCGCCTTGCGTACGCTTTGGTCGGCTGGAGTTTGGACCCCCGAGCGTTTGCGCAGCATCGGCCTCCGCAATTCCCCGCAGTGTTTTGTATGCAAGCAGGCGACTGGCAACGAGTCTCACCAATGGTTTGAGTGCGAAGCCATGTTAGACGGGTTGGACGTGCCTGTTCCAGATTATGTCCTCGAGCTGAGGAAGGCCATCAAGGCCAAGAATAATTCGCAATCTGGAGCGGATCAATTTTATCTCAGCTTCGGTTTGCCGCCCGAGTCACCAGCGCCGTCGCCCCCGAGCGACGTGTATCCTGTGTTGGGATGGGGGGACTGGCGTGGGCGATGGGGGCGGAGGGTGTACACCGACGGAAGCGGCCAAGCCTCGTCGATCCCAGAGCTGGCCCGCTGCGGCTGGTCTGTGGTGGAGGTCGACGAGGCTGGCATCGTTTTGCGTGCAATTTTTGGCGCGCTACCAGGAGCGGTACAGACGGTGCCACGTGCGGAGCACTACGCAGCGCTCAAAGCAGTTGAAGTTGCGCAGCAGCCTGCAATCGTAGTGTCTGATCACCTGAATATTGTGCGTGAGGGGTGTGCCTGGTCGGAGGCCGCTGCCTCCTCTGGCGGCCGTCACGCGGCTGTGTGGGAAAAAAATGCGTCGGCACTGTCCTGAGGCTCCTCCTACCTTCGAGTGGGTCCCTGCGGACAGAGAGCTCTCGGAGGTCTTGGAGGCCCCAGATTGCGATTTTGTCCGTTTCGTTGCTAACGAGTGGGCTGATTTCTTCGCCAAGCGTGGGGCCCAGGTGCATTCTACTGGCCAGACTACGCAGGATTATTATAAGCAAGCCATGAAGGCGGCCAAAGACCAGTCGCAGGTCTTTGCTTGGATGGCCCAAGCGGTCGCCAAGAAGAATGTTGAGCTCCAACCTAGGGAAGTTGTGCCGTCTCAGGTTTGTCGTGATGGCGCCGCCCCGTTGGTTGTGCTAGACTCGCATGAGTTTCGTTTTTGTGAGAGGCTATCTGAATACAGGTGCCAGAATTGCAACAGGTTCGCGCGGACGACCGATTCCTTGAAGGCCCTTCGAGCGAAGCGATGCGAGCCCACGGATCTTCAGAGAGCGATGGCAATGCGTTATTTTGCCCTCACCCCCGAATGCTATCGGCACGCCTCACGTGCGGTGGACGCCGCCGTGCGTGCTGCTGGCCTTGACGAAGGCCTAGGGCCCTCAGGAGGCCCTCGGGAGGGTGGGGGAGTGGGGGCTGACGTCGTCGCCGTCGGGGTCGATCGGGAGGTGGAATTGTACTCGGAACTCGGCCACGGTGTGGAGCGTTTTGGCTCCACGGTCATCTGCCTCTGCTGCGGGGCGTTTAGTGTAGCTGGAGGCCGCAACCGCAAGCTGCGTGCCCAGTGCAAGGGACATTCGGACGTAGCTCTCACTCGTGCGAACGAGGAGATGCAGATCTCACGTGCGTTGCGAGGGCTGCACCCCAGGTCGGGGGACCCTTGCCCATGACGACCTCGACGCCAGGTCTCCTCCGTCGGCGCTCCGACGAGGTGGGGACGGCGCTGTCGAGGTCAAGCGGCACGGTGCGATGGCTCGAAGCCTCGCCGTGCGGCTCATCACTTTCTACCCGCTGAAGCGGGTCCGTACGCTCGGACTCGCTCTTCATCGCTCGCTACCTCCTCCTCCTCCTCCTCCTCTTACCCCTCCTCCTCCTCCTCTTCTCCTCCTCCTCATTCTTTTCCCTCTGTCTGTCTGGGGGGCCGCGAGCGGTCCACATGCACTGCAGGTGGGTGCCGGCGCGGTCCTCCAGCGCTCTGCGCCGGCCCCCCCAGGGACGGCAGCTGCTCGCCGCAGGGCGACAGCCGTCCCCAGGGGGGGAAGGGACGAGCTCGGCCAGGCGCGCGAGGACGACGCAGCCCCCTCCTCCCCGCCCTCCTCCTCCTCCTCCTCCTCCTCCTCGCCCTCTTCCTCCTCCTCCTCCTCCTCCTCCTCCTCCTCCTCCTCCTCCTCCTCTTCTTACCCCCCTCCTCCTCCCCCCCCCCCCCTCCTCCTCCTCCTCCTCCTCCTCCTCCTCCTCCTCCTCCTCCTCCTCCTCCCCCTCCTCCTCCTCCTCCTCCTCCTCCTCCTCCTCCTCCTCCTCCTCCTCCTCCTCCTCCTCCTCCTCCTCCCTCCTCCTCTCCTCCCCTCCTCCTACCCTCCTCCTCCTCCTCCTCCTCCTCCCTCCTCCTCCTCCTCCTCCTCCTCCTCCTCCTACTCCTCCTCCTCCTCCTCCTCCTCCTCCTCCTCCTCCTCCTCCTCCCCCTCCTCCTCCTCCCCTCCTCCTCCTCCTCCTCCTCCTCCTCTCTCCTCTCCTCATTCTTTTCCCTCTGTCTGTCTGGGGGGCCGCGAGCGGTCCACATGCACTGCAGGTGGGTGCCGGCGCGGTCCTCCAGCGCTCTGCGCCGGCCCGCCCAGGGACGGCAGCTGCTCGCCGCAGGGCGACAGCCGTCCCCAGGGGGGGAAGGGACGAGCTCGGCCAGGCGCGCGAGGACGACGCAGCCCCCTCCTCCCCGCCCTCCTCCTCCTCCTCCTCTCCTCCTCCTCCTCCTCCTCCTCCTCCTCTTCCTCCTCCTCCCCTCATCCTCCTCCTCCTCCTCCCCTCCTCCTCCTCCTCCTCCTCCCTCCTCTCTCCTCTTACCCCCCGTCCTCCTCCTTCCCCCCCCCTCCTCCTCCTCCTCCTCCTCCTCTCCTCCTCCTCCTCCGCCTCCTCCTCCTCCTCCTCCTCCTCCCTCCTCCTCCTCCTCCTCCTCCTCCTCCTCGTCCTCCTCCTCCTCCTCCTCCTCCCTCCTCCTCCTCCTCCTCCTCCTCCTCCTCCTCCCCTCCCTCCTCCCCCCCTCCTCTCCCCCCCTTCGCCTCCTCTCTCTACTCCACTCCCCCCCCCCCCCCCCCCTCGTCGCCTCCTGCGCCGCCCCTGGCGCTCTCCGCACGCCCGGGATGGGTGGTACAGCGCCGATCCAAGAACTCCGCGCGGACCTCCGAGACACTATGTTTATGCCGTCGTTTGTTCCTCGGCTCCCTCTTCGCCTTCCCTCCTCCCCTCCCCTTCCCTCTCCGGTGGTTCGGTGGAGATTGGCATTGCGTGCCGTCAGGCTTGGACGCGCAACGGCCACGCCACTACTGTCGCTGTCGCCGTCGCCCGAGTCGGTGGCCCTGACGAGGGGGTAGCAGTGACTGACAGCGCCGAAACGCGCGCGGAGTTCAGCAAGGCATGACGGTGCAAACCCGGCTTGATTGACTGTTTCTCCATGGGCTGGGGGGACTGTGCTGAGGTGATGCTGCACCAGCGCTCAGCGATGTGCTGTTAGCTGATCTTGCAGGTCAGGCTTTTTACTTTTTGTGCACCTCGGCTTCGGCTTCTGCTTCAACTGTGATGCACTTTTCAGCGCCTTCGGCCCGGCTCACCAGAGCCGGCCTTCCTCCCGCACGAGTGCCTCCCTTTCTCCCTCCCCCTTTCCCTCCTCCTCCTCCGCCTCCTCCTCCTCCTCCTCCTTTCCTCCTCCTCCTCCTCTTCCTCCCTTCCTCCTCCTCCTCCTCCTCCTCCTCCTCCTCCTCCTCCTCCTCCTCCTCCTCCTCCCCTCCCCCCTCTCCTCTCCCCTCCCCCCCTCCCCCGCTGCGCCATCTCCTCAGGATGCAACTCCTGGGAGATCAAATTCAGCATCGGTGTTCGTAGATCGGTGGTAGCTCAGCTTCATCTCGGGCAAATCTAGCCTCGTCCAGCTTGACGGCCTCTTAATCTGGCCTGACGGCCTTCAACCGTTCTTACGAAGACTTCCCTGCTTCCTAGTTCCCCCTCCCCCTCCCCTCCCTTCTCTGAGATAAACAGCATGAGCAGACATTTTCGGAGCTCTGCGCTGCAACTCCCCTGGCAGCGCCTCCGGCGCCAGGGAGGGGGGGCGAGCGTCGATCCAGGAATCCGCGCGGAGCTCCGAAAGTTGATGCTTATGCTTATGCAGGTGCTTCCTCCTCCTCCTCCTCCTCCTCCTCCTCCTCCTCCTCCTCTGCTCCCTCTTCCCTTCGCTCTCCCCGCCGCCGCCCCCCCCCCCCTCCCCCCCAGCTGGCGCGCGCGGAGGGGGGGGGGCCCGGGGCGGAGGGCGCTGGACCACCACGGGCGCTCCGCGGACTCCGCCGCCAGCGCGGAAGGCGGCAGGGGTGGGGCCGGTGGGGCTGACGCCGCGCGTCGCGGCGCGTCCCGCCTTCACGGGGTGCTCCTCGGCGTCGTCCTCGCTCGTGCTGCCCGTCCTCGGCCTCCCTCCTCCGCCTCCTGCCGCCATCCTCCTCGAGGCAGTGCCCGCTCAGCGCACCCTCCTCCTCCTCCTCCTCCTCCTCCTCGTCCTCCTCCTCCTCCTTCTCCTCCCGCTCCTCCCGCTCCTCCTCGTCCCCCGTCTCCTTTTGTCCCCGCAGCCCCCCCCCCTTCCCGTCCCGCTGCTGCTGAGCTCCTCTTCTGCCCTCCCCTCCCCTCCGCCATCCTTTCTCCGGCCGACGTCTCTCTCTCTCTATCCGCTCCCCCCTTCTCTCTCCTGAACCAGGGACGGGGAAATAGGCAGGGAACGGGAGAAGAGCTCGGGGAAACATGATCAGCAGGAAGAGGAGGATGGCAGGGGGAAGGGGAATGACACACAGACACATAATCGTCGATCCATGGGAGAATGTGGAGAATACGGGAAGGGGAGGGGAAGACGAAAGTCCAGAACATAATGGAAGAACGTGGTGAATCCTGGGCTTTGTGTACACTTATTTGTGTGACCCTGGGCCCCTTCGAGGAGGGTGGAGGGCACTTTCCTCTCTAGCTGTCCCTTGTTGTTGTCGTGCCCACATCTCCAGTGCAGGTCCAGTGCAGTGTTGATCCGGCAGCAGGTGAGTAAAAGCAGTGCCATGGTGCGCACCGTCTGTGCGATGCCTCCAACGACAGGGTTGTAGAACGATTGCTATGTGCGTGACAGCCGTGTTCCATGACGTTCAAGTGCGCCCATTGGGGTAATGCATGTGCATCGAAGAAGGAAAAACGACATAAACAGAAACCTTTGGCGCTCCGCGCGGATTTCTTGGATCCGCGCTGGGCCCCCCGGCGGCGCCTCTGGCGCCGCCCCGGGCGCGCCCCGCGCGCCAGGGAGGGGGGCCCAGCGCGGATCCAAGAAATCCGCGCGGCGCGCCAAAAGTTTGTGCTTATGACAGTTATCCTTCTTCTAACAACTGCTGTGTGCGCGACAGCCGTGTACCATGACGCTCAAGTGCGCCCATCGGGGTAGCGCATGACGGCATAAACATAAACTTTTGGCGCTCCGAGCGGATTTCTTGGATCGGAGCTGGGTCCCCCCCCCGGCGGCGCGCGTCCGGCGCGGCCCCGGGCGCGCTCCGCGCGCCAGGGAGGGAGGTCCAGCGCAGATCCAAGACATCCGCGCGGAGCGTCAAGAGTTTATGTTTACGGCGTGTTATTTTCTACGCACGTGCAACTGTTCAACGAGGCGCTTTCCAGACGATGGCGGAGACGCTGTGAGGTGAATCGACCTCTCGTTTGGGCCCGATTGTACCGTTTCACAAATTCTAGGCTCCGGGTGCTTGGTTCGGAGAGGGAGCGGGAGGCGTCGCGCGCAAGGGGACGGTAGAGGAGTGCGACGGCGAGTCGCGAAGCAGCCTTGTGGTCCCAGTGGGTCATGACCTCGGGAGGGGAAATACGGTCATTGCATGTCTCAATGCTCTCTCTCGTGATGACAACTCTGGCCACCCTCGGTGAAGCCAAGAGGTAACAGTATACTATGGGCCGATGGTGGAAGCATATGTCTATCTCAGCAGCATCATCAGCATCAGCATCAGCATCAGCATCATCATTATCATCATCAACAGCATCATCATCATCACCATCATCATTATCATCAGCATCACTATCATCATCTGCAGCATCACCATCACCATCACCATCACCATCACCATCACCATCACCATCACCATCACCATCACCATCACCATCACCATCACCATCACCATCACCATCACCATCTCAATCACCGTCAACATCACTATCACTGGCACCACCATTACCACCATCAACCACCACCACCATCACCACCATGATCGCCATGATCATCGCCCTCACCATCAGCAGCATCTCCGTGCTCGTCTCACCGTCGCTCCCCTCGGCCTCCTCCGTCGATGGCGATTGGCGGTCGATGCATGTCCATTACATCCACAGTGGTTTTCGGGCCATAAGACGAGCCTCAAGCGTCCGCTCAGGACGATTCTGGCAGCCCCAGAACTCTCTCGACGGGGCGCAGCCGACGGAAATCACCTTGGGCTTCGAAAGCTCCCGAACGCTCTCGAAGACTTCCCGAACTCCCGAATTTTTCGAAGACCTCCGAACCCTGGGCCGACTCTCCATGGTCCTCCTCCTCCTCCTTCTTCCCCTCCCCCTCCTCCTCCTCCTCCTCCTCCGCCTCCTCCTCCGCCTCCTCCTCCTCCCTTCCCCTCCTCACCCCCTCCTCTCCCCCTCCTCCTCCTCTCTCCCCCTCCTCACCCCCTCCTCTCCCCCTCCGCCTCCTCCTCCTCCTCCTCCGCCTCCTCCTCCTCCTCCTCCTCCCCCCCTCCTCCTCCTCCTCCTCCTCCTCCTCCTCCTCCTCCTCCTCCTCCTCCTCGTGCCACCGTGCCGCCTGCCGTGCAGCTGGGCGCGGTGGCAACGTCCGCCGAGGCTTCCGCACGGCCCTCCGAGGCGGCGGGCGGCTTCGCATCCCGGCGGTGCGGCGCACGCGAAGTTCTCGCGACCGCCTCGTCGCCGCTTCCTCCCGCCCAGGAGGGCGAGGAGGGCGAGGAGGAGGAGGAGGAGGAGGAGGAGGAGGAGGAGGGGGGGGAGGAGGAGGAGGAGAGCCTCCTCCCGCCCAGGAAGGCGAGGAGGACGAGGAGGAAAAGGAGGAAGAGGAGGAGGAGGAGGAGGATAATGAGGAGGAGGAGGAGGAGGTGTTAGTTTCATAGCTTTCCGACTGGGTGGGCAGGCGTGTCTGTCCGTACGATGTTTGGGAGGCAACGCGTGGGAACTTGCACCGTGCTGCTTTGGTCCAGTAAGAAGGCTCCGATCAAAATTTCATGGTGGCGGAGCCCGCGGTTCGCCCCACGGGTTCCACTGCGCGCGATGACCTCCGCAGGGCACTTGCCTCCGTGCGATGGCCGCAGCTGCCGCCGCGGCGGTGCCACCGCACCCACGCACAGCTCATCCGGGGGTTGGGATGTGACGTTGCCCGAGTCCGAGAGAGTTGGTGCAACCTGGGCACGACCCGACTCGCGGAAGTGTGCAACACCGGTTGCGAGAATGGGCATTCCAGGTGCCTCACCACCGCCCTCAATGCCAACCGCGAAGGCTTGAAATCGCTCTTCGAGCGCAGCGCCTCACTGGGTACCAGGACCATTGACGAGGATGAGCTGCTCACGATGCTACAGATGAGCTGCCACATGAACGCCTTTTTCGGGGATCGGCCATCAGCCGCAAAATGCACTGCGCGGACCAGTTCAACAACTTGAACCAAACTCCAACGTCAATCGAACGCCTCGGAGCATGCCACCAAGACCGCCGAGGCCATCCAGTCCACCGGCAGCGCGAGGACCAGAGGAGATGGAACCGATCCCGCCAGCGAGTACAAGGCCGTCCAACAGCGAATCTGTTCTCAGGTGGCCGGCCCAAGTTCAGGGAGTGGACCGAAAAGTTTTAGAACGCGCTCGCCCAAGTGAAGCATGGCGATCGGAAAGCCCCCAAACATGTGAGCAAAAAGCTTGGAACCATTGATAGGGCACTACCCGCTGACGAAGAGGGCGGTTCGAGAAAGAGTACGAACGGGAGGCTAACCCTGAGCGAATACACCACAGCGTCAACCATCAAGAAAGAAGACGACGCCGAGGGAAAATACAAGCTCCACGATGACGAGCACGGGAAGTTGGACGAGGATCTCTGGTAACTGTCGAGCGAAAATTGTAAGTAAGGAGGCAGGCGGGGAACTCAAGGGTTTGCATGGGGGAGACGGCTGCGCGGCGTACCAGAACATACATATTTGCGTCTATATCTATATATAATGGCTCGCGGCCGTTAGCGGGGTCATACTGTCGCGCAACATGAACCTGGCCATGAAGCGAGGAAGTCCGAATGAGGTCAACAACGTGGCGCCGCAGCTGGAACAGTGGAGTGCGCTAGCACAGTCCCTTGAGAAGTACGGGAGCGCATGCTCGTTACCTTTGGCCTTCAGGGTCTCTGCCCATGCTGGCAATTTGTTTGGCGACTGGTAGCAGGACTGCTTCAAGGCGCCAGAATCGTGAAATACGGGCGCGTACCAGAAACCCTGCGTCATGTGTGAGGACTGGGCCAGGAGCGAAACAACATGGAGTCCAGGGAAGTTTGCCACGTTAGCGATGGAGACACTGGGGGGGGGGGGCGCGAGCGCGAATGAGTCCGTCGCGGGAGCTGGCGGAGATGGAATGGGGAACACATGAGTTGGAACAGCGACAGGAACTAAGCGAGCAGAGACAAAGGCCAGGGTAAAACATGCCCATGTGCTACAAGTGCGGAGGGCATAGGCACGTCGCTGAAGACCGCGCCGCGAAAGGAGACGCGCGCGGAAAAGGAGGCGGACAAGGGGAATATAAAGGGGCCAAAGGTTACCATGGGGGGCACGCAGGGGGGGAGATGCGAAGGAGGGTGCCAGGGCGCCAAGGGCTACCCAGGAGGTCGCGTCAAAGGAGGTTTCCAAGGGGACATATCCCCAGGATGAATAGGAGGTCGCCAGAAAAAAGGAGGTGTGCCAATCAGCGAGACGGAGTGCTACACATGCGGCGAAGTCGGTCCAATCGCAGCACGCTGCCCCGGAAATGCTAAAGAAGTCTGCTCAGGCCACGGGGGGCCAGAGGCACAGGGGGCCCCCCGCAGGCGCCGGGGCAGCGCCTGCTGGTCGGAGGCCCACATCGTATACACCAAGGCCCTGCGCCAAAACATCTCGCTTGGGGTAGCGGATCATAGAGAATGCGTCGATGAAACATCGGCGGCGTGCTACTCGGACCGTTTCGCATTTCGCGATGGGGTCCAAGGGGGCAAGCGTTGCCGAAACCGCGGCAGCAGCCTGCTATGCTCAGGCACTGTGTGCGAGCATCGCCCGCAACAGCTCGTCGTGCTTTCGGGCGCTCGGCAGCGCCCTTCCAAACATATGGAGGGGGAGAGGAGGCAGTAAGGAGGTCATGAAAGGGAAAGGGAGGACGATGATTGGGCGGGGTGGGGAATGGTGACGTATCTCTCCCCCCCGCGCTCCTCGCGCCTTCGGCCCGCCCCCCCCCCCCCTGTCTGCATTCCTTTGGGGGTGTTCAAAGCAGGGGGGATTGACGCCAGGGGCGTTCGCGCGCCGGGAGACTGTCAGGTGGGGCAGTCGAGAGGAGTTCATGATGATTTTCGTGCTGTCGGTCATAGCGTTTCTTGTTGTCCCATTACAGTAGCAGGAAAGGGTGGGAGGTCTAGGCCGCCCCCCCGCTGGGATTTACTCTGGGACGTGAGGCCGCCCCGAGCGGATCCAACGCGTTCGGGGGCCTTTTTGGTCGCGTGCGCATTTCTTTGGTGCGCAATTTGCGATATGAATTCGTAGGTTTCATGCAGTTTCTTCCTGGGGGCTTCAGTTCGCAATGTTGTTAGCAGGTGGCCGAATGAACGCCGCTCGGCGGGCCTTGCCCAGCCTAATCCTTCGTTCCCCAGTCTTTCGCAACCCTTCTGGTCCTGAACGCGGGGGGGCCTGCAACTCGCAGGGGGCCATGATCCCCCCAATTGAGCTCACTATTGGTTCCGCCAGCTCTTCTGGAATGGAGGCGGTCGTGGCAGAGAGCCCATGCGCCCAGCATATGTCCTCTAAGGTGTTGTTGTTTCTCTCGCAGTTGTTTGCCGACGTTGTGGCCATCCCATCGCGCTCCGCGTGTAGCTGTCTGGGATCGATCAGCTAATTGTTGAAAGAGTCCCAGCTAGAGTGTGCCCACGTTCCCTGGGTGGCACACATGGCGCCGAAACGTTTGCTTTGCTTCGAGTTGGCTGACGATGAGCGCAAGTGCAAGACCAAGCTTGTGCGCCTGTGCTCTCACGTGCCCGTTGTGCCCAGGACTGGCACAGACCTCGAGCGCGAGGACCGCGAAATCAACAGGGCCGCGTTTTTGGACAACATCAACGTGCTGTATCGCGACCCTGACCTGAACGTCAAATGCGAAAATGGATCGCTTCGAGGGTTGCGGCCCAGCACCGTGCGCAGGAGACCGCCGGCAATTTCGACGCAGTCAGCGCCCCTGCAAATTTTCGACGTGGGCTTCAAAGTCGCATTCATCACCAAGAAAACGAAACTCACCCAGGATGCGCTCGAACGAGCAGCTGACCACGACCCTGAAGCTCCCAACCAAATCCTCGTGCACCTCCTGGTCCTGGGCGTGCAACTGAAACTGCCAGAAGCGACGAAGAAACCGAAGGTCATGGAGATGTCGCGCGAGTGCCGTTGCAACATGATCGGCCAGGGGCGCGGTGAAGATTGGGCGGACGCCACCGTCTTCGACAAAAAACACGGGCGCTATGCTGTGGAAGAGCGTTGGGCCCCACCGCATCTGTTTTGACAAGGGCGGCGAGGGGCAACGCGCAGTGCACCCCCCAACAGACGAGAAGGTGAACATCCCCGCCCACAGCCCCATCGACACGTCGTAGTAGTTCCGGGACATGTGGGGCGATTGCACGGCCCACGCTCAGAAGGGCATGACCAAGCATCCGATCCACCAGTGGTTCGGAGATACCAAAGGCCCCAACGCGATCCCGCTTTGGAGCGGCGCGAACAAGGATTGCACCCAGGTCGTCCTCGCGCAGGACGCGGCCTTCGAGAAGAAAACTCCCCCCCCAGCCAAAGCGTTCCGCGCCGAGGCGAAGTCAGCGGCAAAAACTGCTGGCATGGAGAAGGCGCGGGCTGATATGGCCAAGCGTAAGGAGGAATTGGCCACCAAGCGCGCCCTGAAGCTCGGGTGAGGGCCGGCAGGGGCTGGCCGAATCCAATCGGTGCCCAGGGTTTCTGGTTAAGCTGCCCGTGTTTTTCCTCCGAGCGCGGTGCCGAGAAGGGCATCGCAGCGTTTTTGGGTGCACCTGTTCTGCGGCAGCGCAGGGCGCGCTGAGCAACCGCATTCGGGCGAATGGCGCTCAGCGTTCGTGCGACGATATGGCCGCGGCAGTGCCTCGGAATTCACGTTCTGTTTCGCAATGGGGCGAAGCCGTTTGAGAAATGCTGTGTATTCGGTGTCCGTTGTCGTTTCGTTCGCGGGGGGGGGGGGGGGGGGGGCGTTCGCGCCCCGCTCCCTGCCCCCTCGCCCAGGGGCACCTTGACGTTGTCCATGGGTGTCCGCGCGAGGTTTGCGCGGCAGCGAATCTTACGCAGACAGCGTTCCAAGTGCACTCTGAGTCCTAGATGGTCGGGCGTTTCTGCCTTTCTTTCCTCCTCCCGTCCTTCTCCTCTTGCCGCGGCCGCTGCGGCCTGCGCGACCGTGGCAGCGGGCGCATTTCCCCCTTGAGCGAGGCTGGTGTCTTAGTAATCGCTTCAGAATCGGTCACCCGAGACATCTGAAGTCCCGGGCCGTTCTCCCTTGTTTTGGCATTCTTCGCAGACAGTCAAAGTTCTTAGCATGCGTGCCGCAGCTTGGCTCCCACGCGCATCCGAGTTGCGAGTTCTGGAAGAGGTGGAAGGGGGGGGCGCGATTTGTCCGCCAGGGTCTGTGCACGGAGCTTCTCAAACTGTTTGCGCAAACGGTGTTTGGGGAATGCTCATGCGGTGCAATCTGTCGGCTCCAATGCTGTCCAAAGGGGCCGCGTTCCGATGTTGGACAGGCGTGTCCTACGAACGTGGCCGAAATTCGGGCCAGGGGGCCGCATGTTGTTAGGTGCTTTTGCTACAGTCCCCTTGCTGTGATACAGTGTTTAAGACATGTGCCAACCACTAAACGTAGAATGAGGCTATCCCACCCCACGCCCTGCCATAATCTCCAGGGATTCGAAAGTGCTACAACACCATGGTCGATGCATCATCTTTCGAGCGAGGTCCGCTTCCTTCGTGGCGACCTGGCTCAAGGTTTGCGCTCAAGGCCTAATGTTCTAAGCTGTGCATATGGGACAGTTTTTGCGTTATTAGGTATCCCTCCGCCAGGGCCCAGTTTAGGCGTCAGTGTCCATGCCTTTTCTCCCCCTTACACGTTTCCTAACATTAGTTCTAAATATCGCATGGTTGACTCGCGAATTTCAGGTGGCAAATCTGCAAATGTTCATCCCGCGCGAGCTGCAACCGAAAAGACATCACAGCGAAGTGCGCAACGTTCATCAATAAATTATGCGGGGTGGGTAAGGCTTGCGAGGGGGAGCGAGAGTAACGCCAAATCCGGTTCCTGGTGGGAGGATCTCCAGTAACGCCCAAACCGGCCCCAAACGGAGCCTTGAGTTTTGAGCGTCTTGTCAAGAATTTGATCCTCAGGGCGGTCGGCGCTCCACAACCGACGACCGACTAGGGGTTCCCACAGCTTGTGTCGAATCAGATTCGTCGATCATCCGCCCGGTCGGCCTTCCTTGGCTGGTGATTGGCTAGAGGTTTTCACAGTTTGGATCGTAGGACAGTTTGCGATTCTCTGGGCTTGCGACCAGCTAGGGGTTCCCACAGCTTGCGTCGAAGGAGATTCGCAGGGCCTCCAACCAGTCGGCCCGCGACCGACTCGGGGTTCCCACAGTTTGCGTCGAATGCTTCGGAGGTTCGGGGCTTTTTGAGGAAGGTGGGGTCTGGGACAGCTTCGACGGGGTTCCGAAACAGTTCAACAGGGTGTCATTTCCGACGCCCGCGATATTGTAACCTTTTGGGTTCTTTTGGAGGGGTCTGCGTGCTTCCTTGAGCATTCTGGCGTTTTGTCTGATGCCATTCAAGGCATCCTCGAGATGTCTGGGCGCATCGGGGCGGCCCCGACATGGCCGCGGGAAACTCTTCAAGGTAGCAACTCTGGCGTTCGTGGCAGGCCCCACATCGTCCGTTCAACGGGATGTTTTGGCGGCCCTCTATTGCCTTTTCGAGGCCGCGGGAGGGCGGCAAGCTGATCCGAAGTGGGTTTGAGAAAGTGGTGTTTTCCATGCGTAGTTCAATCTCTCACCTGATGCCGCCTAATTGCTATTCCCCCGCCTGGAACATGGCTAGGGTGATGGGCGTTACATCCATAGCATCTGAGGTGCGCTCTGCGTTTGTCGTGGATGTGAGTTGGCATTGCCGCCAGCGCAGTCCATTTCGGCACTGCTTGCAGTGGCCCCGCCATTGCCATGACTGCTCGAGGGAGCTTTCCCACGTAAGTGGCCATCGCGCGTGCATTTTGTCAGAGCGCGGCTGCCAACTGCGCCTTAGCAAGCGCTCCACCGACGCGATGGAGGACGGGAGCAGTAATGTTAAACGCCGCAGGGAAAGGGGAAATCAGGACATGGGCCCGTTTTTTTGAGGATCGCGTGGGGCTCGCGCGGGGCTCGCGCGGGGCTCGCGTGGGGCTCGCGTGGGGCTCGCGCGGGGCCTGCGTTAGGGATCGCGCGGGGTTCCTGCGGAGCTCTCGCGGGTCACGATTGGGGCTCGCGCGGGGCTGGCGTGGGGCTCGCGTGGGGCTCTCGTGGGGCCCTCGTCGAGCTCTCGTGGGGCTCGCGTAGGTCTCTCGTGGCGCTCTCCTGGGGCTCGCGTGGGGCTCGTGTGGGGCTCGTGTGGGGTGGTTTGTTGTCAGTTCGGCGGTCGTTTTGGTGTCGTGGTTGGTTTGTTGTCAGTTCGGCTGTCGTGGTTTGTTTGTTTTGGTGTCTGATCGTGGTTTGTTTGTTGTCGCTGTTGTGGTTTGTTTGTTGCCGTGGTTTGTTTGCGCTCGCTGGTGGTTTGTCCGTTGTCAGTTCGGCGGCCGCCCGGGGGTTTGAGCCCCCCCCCCCGCCCCCTTCACCATTTTCAGAGGAGAAGCCAGACGAGCATGTAGTGAACCTGGAAAGGCCACCCTGGGGCCAGTTCATTTTCCTCGACCCGATCGAGGGCGGGCGGCAGCAGCTCACAAATGTGTTGACGCTCGAAGTGGTGAGGTTTCACGATGGGTGCCCGTGGGATCTCGTTGGCGTGGATGGGGCGCCTGTCCTTGTGAACGATGAGGGGGGGATGCAATTCGCCTGCGGCCAGTTTTCCAAGCAAGTGGAGAAGTGGCGCAGGAACATGCATTCTCGAGAAACTTCCTGCGGCGGGTGCAGCCGCTGAGCCATGTGTTGACCTTTCCACGCTGATCAGGCGACACGCGGTGCGACGAGCAATCGTCAACATGGGAACCGCAGTGGCCGAATTTGAAACGTATGTCTTCGAAAGGGCGATGGCCAATTCATCCCGCGTTTTATGGTCCGTCTACTCCTTATACAACAGCGCAGGCATGACCTCGTACAAGAGCCAGGCCAGCAAGTGCGCCTATTCCTTGTGCGCGTCCTGGACCTCAACGCTTGCCATTTTGGGGCATGGAGAAGCACATCGTTCGCAGCTACAACGGGCTTGACGTTCAGGAGCAACTCGAAGGTATCGATCGCCCGTTGCAGTCACCTGGTTATACCACGTTGGGCTTGTTGATGCTGTCATCTCGCATGGCCTCCGCTTCAGCGCAGAAGGGTGGCATTCGAGAACATCGTGTTGTCAGCCAGCTCCAGCATGTCGTCAACTCCTTCCTCGACGTTGCTCCGATGACCGATTGGGCGCTGACGATCGCGTTCGATGATGACTGGAAGCTGATGTGGCCTCGTCCCAACAAGGTGGCACCTTATTCGGTCGAGCTCAAGGTGGTGAAAGGGCGAGTCAATCTTGGGCCGTGGGTCGTTCTGATGAGAGAGCATTCCCAGCGGAGGGGCATCAATAATACCCCGCTGTACAGGTGGTGGGGCGCTGTCAAGGCGTATGTTGGTCAGGGTAACGCCGTGAACCTCGTGACTCTTCTCAGGGCGCCCAGTCCGATGAACACCACCTCCGACGTCTCCCATTTTTGGGCCCAGGTTGTCTGGCACACGAGCCACTATATTGAGAAGCAGCTCCTCGCAGAAGCTGCAGATCCGTCCTCGGAGCAACCCGTGGTCTTTCACGTCGAGGCGTCCAGCCAGGAGTGGGCGGCGAGGGCCGTCGACATCTGCTGCGTGGATCACGTCCACGCTTCGAGGGTGGCCCAGCGGGGCCATCGGCAGATATCCATCGCCACAGACAAGGCCAACTCGGCGATTGTGCTGACGAACAACGTTGGCTTTGAACTCGCCCCCCAGGTCGCACCCCCGTGGCACCGCCATTTGCGCGGGCCTTCAGTGTGGGATTCACTGCAGCCCGTGCCACAAAATTCGAAGTGTTCTTTTGGGTGGCCACCTCTGGAGCCACAGAAGGGGCACTGAGGGAGGCTCCTGATACGGGGCCTCTGTCACTTTCCATTGCGGCACCTCGGGCCTTCTAGGAGGGCAAAAAACGCAGACACGGGCCTGACAAAGGCCGCTTCTCAGGAACCCAACCTTGCCACGAACAGAGCTCTTCACAGGTTTCCAGGGACCTTCACAGCGCGAGATCGCATTGGTCGTTGCGTCAGAGGAACCTTGGTGTATACGGTGAAAACCGGAAATCTTGGTGTAAATTGGACACGTCAAATTTGGGTTCCCCCCAGGGCTCTTAATAATATTCATTCTCACCAGGGAGCTAGGTGTATACGGGGAAACGGATTTTGCGACGAACCAGCACATCCGTATACACCAAGGGGCGCGGGCGCAGCGTCTGTGTGATCACCCTCATGGGTCACGGTGGATGGGGGGGGGAGTGTCAGGTCGCGTCCTTCGCTCCCTCACGGCCTGGCGCGTCCGCCAAAGACGGGGTAGCGTTGTCGGCGGAGCAGCAGAGCCGGCACGGGGGTTTCCTCAAGCGTCTTCTGGACGAAGACGCCTCGTTTCGTCCGAAGAGACGCGGGCGTTTGGCTACGGCGAGGGCATTGGAGTTGAAGGGCAACGGCGTTCAGCTGGGCTTAGGAACTTCTTTGCAAAGAGCCCGTCCCCATCATGTGCTTGTTCTTCGATTCGCATCACCGCGGCGGGCTTGGGGGCTGTTGCAGAGTGTGTCTTGGCATTGCGTTGCGTTGTGTAGCGGTGTATTCGGTTGGATTGCGAAGCCTTGCAAAGCTTTTTTTGCTTGGCATTGCGTTGCGTAGCCCTGGGCCCACAGCGATCGCGGAGGGGGCCAATTTCAGTGAAATATTTGCGTTCCAGCTGTGGCCTCAGGGTTCTGGAGGGGCGGCCCTGAAATTTGCGTCTGCCCCGACGCGCGCGAGGGCGGGTACGGCGAGACTCGCAGTCTCTCTCGCTATGACCACCGCGCCCTCCAGGATCTCCATGGACTGGGAGGGTAGGGGGGGGGGTACCGACGAGGAGGGCGATGGCCAACGCACGCCGCCATGATTGGGTGAAGGGAAGCAGGCTGTGGCGAGGAAAAGGGGAGGAGGGGGGGGGGGGGGGAATGCCACCCCCCACCACCATCTGGACACTTTGGTATTACGACAGCAACAGAACTTAATGAGACAGTGCGCGCCGAGGTTCGGGTCAGCACGGACTTGCCTGGGCTCTCGTTCGCCATGCTGCGCCCGCTGATCGATCAGGGCGTCGCCTGGCGCCTGTGGCCGCATCTCAGCGACGCTGGGGGCCAGGGGGCCGACGAGGTCGCAGGCGCGCGCGCCTTGATGTTTCGCGGCGACCTGCGGTTGAACATGGCGCGGCGGTGCGACCCGGCGCACGGATGCAACCGAGACTTTTGGTTGACGTGTTCCGAGTGCGGGGTCGAAGGGCTCGTGTACCTCGGCATGATCGCAATGAACATCGCGTGCGGGCCCGGCGAAAGTGACGCGTGCTGGGAGAAAATCACCGACGCCATGAACGACCACTATAAGAACTCGCCCCCCAAAACCTCCCCGATATTTCAACATTTTTCCGCGCGCATAATTCGCGAACTTGGGGGTGCCATCGCCAAGGTCGAGGGTCAAACTGTGGAGGACGCAGCGTGGACATTCATGAGGGAGAGGTCTGCCTTCGGGAAAAAGCAATACAAGGTGAACCAAGGCCGATATTTGGCCGTGGCGTCCGAAGGCACCCAGTTGTGCAAGATGTGGTGGTCATTTTGCTTCGAGCTCATGGTCGTGGGCCTGGAGGTCGACGCTCTAAAAACCAAGGCCCTCACGAAGATCAAGATGATCACGAGTGGCCACGACGTTACTTCCAACCTCGATGGGACTTCCAAGCGCACCACCAGTGTGGACTCGAGGACCTTGCGATCGGGTGGGCTTAACGCTTTGGTTATTTCAGGCGCCGTCATTAGTGACGATCACCATCGGCGTCTCCTGGCAACAGTCTTCGGCCTGCACGCGCCAGTCAAACACTGGTGGGGCCGCGCTCGGAAAAGTTTGGCGGACGTTGCCACTTCGCAGCAATGGGTGTCGGATCAGCTCACTGGTGGCATTATTGAGCATTGCGTTGACATCGTTACGCTGCTGGAAACACAATCGTTCTTGGAGTTTTCAGGCTTCATTTTGAAGGGCCCTGCGCTGGGCCAGATGACAGAGGAGGAAATCGGGTTGGAGGACGAGTTCGCAGACAGAGCTTGCACGTGCGCTTTCGCGCTGGTGAAAAACCGGCTCCGCAGGACGTTGTATTATTTTGATCGCGCCCACCCCATGGTCCGCCTCCTCGCGGCGAGCGAGGGGGAGGCAGCGCACTTTGTGTCATCTGTCAAAGACGATTCCGACATATGGGACAAATTCAGAGCCTTGGCCGACCCAGACGATGCGATTACCAAATATAAGAAACGACATTTGTTTACTCTTGGGTGTGTTCAGCAATTGGCGCTGGGATTCAAAGAGGTGGGGTACTCTTGCCACCCAGACGCGCTGAGAGCCATTGACACGCACTCCATGGGGGCTCTTCCAGAGCACCGTCGTCGAGGATCTCAACAACGCCCAGAAGAACATCAGACAAGTTACAAACTGGGGGGGGAGGCGCCGCCGCCCCGCCACGTCTCTCGCGGCGACGGTGCGCGCCGGCACAATGCACAAGAACAACAACAACAAATTCGACAGCCTTCCGAAACATGTGCCGTTGCCTCCAAATTCCAGGCCCTTGACGCAGAGTGACGTGACGGCAGTGGACGAGCCGTCCCTCAACTTCCGTACGATTACTGGGAATGCAGCCGCCACGTGGTTCTCGCCTTCCGCCGAGGACATTGCCATCAACTGGGCCGACCTCGCGGTTCTCAGGGGGTGCGAGCGCTTGAACTGTTTGCGGGACGTCCACAAAGCTCAAGCAGGTTTGCTCTTGCAAATTTCCCACAAAGTGTTGTTCCGGAAGACAGCTGGTATCCCAGAGGGTTCCCCTGAAGGTGATTGGCATTTGGCTCTCTACCGCTACGGTACAAGCGGGGTGATCGCATGGCCTGTTGAACTCTGCGAACTCGGCGATCGGGCGTTCTTCACGCTGAAGAAAGACCGGGTGGAGCCTGCGGTCATTGCAACTCTCAGTTTTGACGACATGGAGATGTGGAGTTTTGAATATCGTTCGTGGGCGTGGCAGGTCAAGCAACATCCAGGTTGCGGCTTGCGGCCCGCAGCGCGGCCGATCCTGGAGGGTCAACCCGACCGTCCGCGTAAGATCGCAGCGAGAGCTGCTTTTTGGACGTTGAGCCGCAGGGATATGGAGTACATCGGGGAGGGCGTCGACGCCGTGAACTTGTCTGAAGCAGCCTCCCTTTTCCAGGCGACGTTCATGTTGGTGAAGGCGGTCCTGGAGTGCAGCGACGCAGAGGCCCTTGGCATCCTGTGCAAGCGGATGGGGGCGATGTACTTGCACAGCGACGTGGCGGCCTCGGAGCTGCTCGCCGTCGACGGGGCTGCCCAGTGCCTCGTGCAGTCGGACGCCCAGGAGCTGGAGGGCGAGAAACGGTCGATGCTCGACAACGTGCGCGAGCTTTTTGTGTTTTCTCTGTTAATTTGTGTGCTTTGGCTCTTCTTATTGTGTTTCTCTTTTTGTTTTATTTTTCTTTTTATTTATTTCTTGACTTTTATTTTATTTATCATTTTTTTTTGCTTACTTATTTCTTTTTATTTAATTTTTTTTTTTTTTTTTTCTTTTTTATTGTTTTTTTTGTTTATTAATTTTTTTTTCTTTCTTTTTCGTTTTTTTTTTTCTCTTATTTTTTTTTTTTACTTATTTTTCTTTTTTGACGATTACAAGGGGGTTTCGTGAGAAGGCATACGAAACTCACACAAAAAACAGGGGTTGGTGCTTAGGAGGGGCAGGGGGGGGGCGGAGGGGGGATTACGTTCCCAATCTGCGGTGCTTGCATGGTCGGTGTCCGGGCGAATTCTTGGGGCGTCGCTCTCCGAAGATTCATTTGGGGTGGCCGTCTTGGGACCCCATGGGGCCTCTTCGGAGTTTTCTGGGGACCTTTCTGGTGCCTGTCTCAACCGCGACAAGTTTCTAAGAGGATCCCAGGAGCCCCCAGACGGATGCGATGACGACCCAATTGATTGTAACATCCATCGGAAGCTGACCCTGTCCATTCTTGGAGGTCTTTTGGCACGCCTTAGGGGCCTTGCTGGTGTCTTTGGGGATCACCTCTGGGGCCTTGATTTGGCCTTGGGGGGTAGCGTGCGTAATCGCTGGCTAACATTTGTGCCCTCTGCTCCCTGTGGGGCCTCCCCTGGAGCCTCCCTCGCCACTCTTGGGCCCCATCTCGGGTTCTGTTGGGCTCAAGGGTCTTCATTTTTGCGTGACTACGCAGACCATGGCAACGTTGCCTCAGTGACCTTCAGACAGGGCCTCGCCCCTCGAACCGAAACGCTTGGCGGCGCCCCGCGCTTGTAAATGCAAGGGCGAGTGCGTGGCGGCATCGACGCTTCCATGTGGCAGCCGGCGTGTCCGAGTACACGTTTCGTTTGTCTTCGGTGGCTTTCTGGAAAGAGCTCGGGGGGCGTTTTTTTTTGAGGGAGCCCCCTCGCTGACTCTGCCTCGCCCCTCTCCCCCCCAACATCGCGTCCCTCCCCGTATTGGAGCCCTTCTGGGACCCCATGTTGTAGCCATCTTGGGGCTGGAAGAGAGCCCACATGCAAATCTATGCATAGAATTGGGGCGGGGTCCGTGCGGGGCCTTTTCGGAGCCCTCCTGGAACGTGTTTGGGGCCCTAATTGGACCCCTCTTTGGTCCAATAGTGGCGCCGCCTTGGGATCCCAAGGGGGCCCAAACCCAACTCTATGCATAGAGTTAGGATGGGGTCCTCATTGGGCCTCCTTCGGGGCTCGTCGGACCCCTCCTGGAGCCTTGTTTGGGTCTTAGTGGAGCCCTCTTGGGCCCCATGTTGGGGCCCCCTTGGGCTCCAAGAGAGTCCAAGCCCAACTCTATGCGTGGAGTTGGGGTGGGGTCCTCGTGGGTCCCTCTTGGAACCCTCATGGTGCCCTCTTGGGGCCCTATTGGAGCCCTTTCGGGCCCCATGTTGGAGCCTTCTTCGGACTCCGAGGGGGCCGAAACCGAACTCGATGCATGGAGTTGGGGTGGGGCCTTTTTGGAACCCTCGTGAAGATCCCCAACCTCGTCGTCGTCCTCCTCCTCCTGTGCGAAGGGGGGGGGGGGGGGGGGCCTGCCCGGCACCGTTGGCCTTCGCGGCCATCATTTTCGGCCTCCCGATAGGTGTGTAGATGAGGCAAGATGTCGGTGCGAAGCACGGTCTTACACCCCAAACAACAAAAAAAACGGGCTGACGAGCTCGATAGAACTCCGCCCTGTCCGACTCTACCGGCACAGGTGGCCGGAGGCTGAGCGTGCAAGTGCGAGCGACTGGAAGGTCGCCGAAATTTCTTTGAGCAGCGCCAACTGCACGCAGAAGGCGACGAGGATCGCGGAGACAAGGGCGTAATGTAGAACACCACGCCACGAAGTCCTGTCCCGTTCGACCGGCGCCGAACGGCCACTGTCCGAGAGCAACGCCGACTGCACGCAGACGGCGTCGAGGAGCGAAGAGAAGAGGACGTAGAATTGGAAGAACACGCCTCCCCGGAAGCCATGCCCCGTTCAGCCGGGCAGAATACTCCAACCAACGGACGCCGAACGGTCAATGTCCGAGAGGAGCGCCGGATGGCGCCCCAGATGAAGAACGCGAAATTGAGGAAGATCACGCCTTTTTTTTTTTTTTTTTTTTTTTTTTTTTTTTTTTTATTTTTTTTTTTTTTTTTTTTATTTTTTTTTTTATATTTTTTTATTTTTTTTTTTTCTTTTTTTTTTTTTTTTTTTTTTTTTTTCTTTTTTTTTTTTGTTTTTTTTTTTTTATTTTTCTTTTATTTTTTTTTTTTTTTTTTTTTTTTTTTTTTGTTTTTTTTTTTTTTGTTTTTTTTTCTCTGCTTTTTTTTTTTGTCTCAAGTCTTGCCCAAGGCCGGCCGGCCGGGGACGGTGAATCCCGCGGACGCATGAATCCCGCGGACGCCGGCCGGCCTTCCCAGGGCACCACGTGAAAGGCGGTGTGTGCGCCCCGCCGGCGGAGCCAGGACGGTCCCTGGAGAAAGCCACGCCGCCCTGGACATCCGTCGGGCCAGGAAGACGAGAGGTAGAGTCCAGCCCAGGGCCGGCTGCTGTCCGTGCGGTCATTGCCGCTGCCATCTAGAAATGGCCCGAGTCCGGCAGGCGTACTTTGTGAAAACCTGCAGGTACGTGTTGTTCGCGTAGAAATACCGTCGAATTCTTGCGGCGCTCCCGGCTGGGAGCAGGAAATACTTTGCCAAGACAACCTCTAGCGCTTCAATGCCGAAGCATCGAAGCCCAACCACACGGCGAGGACGCGTTGTCATGGTGGTCTGTCGAGGACCTCCCCAGTCAGTCCAGGGTGCCATTGAAGAACGCGGTGTCCTGCGACCCCTTGGCCGCTCGTCTTTGCGTGAGTCATTCGCCCCCCCTCGCCCTCGGGTGAACGGCCCTCCTGGAGAGAAGAGGGGGTCGGGTGATCGATTGATCCATTCGAAGACGCATGTTGAAGTGGATTCGGGGCGTCGCGGCGCCCTCGGGGACCCCGGGGCACGCGGGCGCTGCGCGCCAGTAGGAGAGGGTTCGATCACTTCAGCAGTGCCATTCTTGACGTAATTGTCCTCCGTCTGGCCCTGGGAGCAGGCGGCTTGAATTTGTTCATCGGCCCCGCTGTTAGCGACAAGTCCGCGTCAGGAACTGAGTTGCTGTAGTCTCGATATGGTCACCATTTTCACTGTTAACAAAATTGCCCCCCACGCGGCCCTCAAAAAAATGCGGCCTCGATATGTCTACCGTCGTCTTGGTGAGCGAATGTGTCATTCGTCTGGCCTTGACAGACGCGGCATTGATGAGTTGGTTCCACCGCGGGGAGGAGGAGAAGGGAGGAGGAGGAGGAAACGTGAGGAGGTAGAAAGAAACAATCACGATGGGAGAGGGAACTGACAGAAAACATCCCAGGGTGAGCGATGGAGAAGGGAGGGCTGCGGAAAACAAGGGGGTGTAGGGCTTGGGGGCTCGCGTTCGGGGACCAGCGAGGAAAACCCCACTCGTGGCACTCCTGTCGCGAGACCCATTGATCGGGCACCCCCCCGCCTGCCCATCCAGGTCGCTGCAGCGGATTTCTGAAAATGGGGAGGCCGT